CACCAGGGCTTGGCGTCCTCACGCGTGCCTGATGCAGCAGCAACTAAAGTCCACGTGGGAGGTCCTCGCGCCAAAACGATTTAGCCCGAATTTATTCAAACCCTTAGACCTCATCTCCAGCCCACGAGGAGCACAGGGAGTCCAACGCCGGGAGGACGCCGTCGACAGGACGTCTGGACACCCGTTTCTGAAGCTGGCGTCGGAGCGAGAGGGGCCCGCGGGGACAGCGGCGTGGGCGCCAGGATGGCAGCGGCAGAAGCTGTGTGCGGTGGCTCTTCTGGAGCTGAGGAGAGCATCGAAGGTTTGCGCTTCCCAGCGAAGACGTGCACAGTTGTGTTCGTTCTGCTCAGCGTCTGCTCTGAGCACAGGAGCAGCCCCCCACCCACACCCGGCCCCCGACAGGCAGCTGCACGCCGGTTCCCGGAGCGGCTCGCACATGGCTTGTGGGAGCCGGGCTGGGAAACGGGCCCCGGCCTCCAGGTACCAGAGGCCCGCGCTCTGAAGGCTGGTTACTCCTGATGAGGGAGGTGCAGACAGAGACACAGAGGCAGGTGGCCATGCGGCGGGCCCCTTCTCCTGAAGCGACCTGCAGGGCAGTTAGAGGAGGCAGACACGAAAGACGTGCAGTTAAAGGCAACCACACGTGTGGGAGAGTTAGAATGTGACCCTGCTGTTCCAGGTAAAGGCTCTGAAAGGACATGAGAAGGCACTAAGTTTACCCCTCGGGCTGCTCCTTGGCCCCTAGACAGCCTACAACCATCAAAACATTTAAAAATAACCAAAAACAGCAAACCCTGGGTAAGGGGAACTCTGAGTTCAGAGTTACGGCACCAGTGGGTTAAAATGTCCCTGCACGAGGCACAGAGACAGAAGATCACTGCCCGAAGGGGAAATAAGTCCACAGCAGCTGTTTGTGAAGACCTGATGGCGGACCTACTGGACAAAGACTTAATGGCCGAAGATCCTCACAGAGCTACATGTGGATGTGGAGAAAGCCAGAAAGGTGACACGGGAACAAGATGGAATAAACAATACCAGACCTAAAAAGAAAGCAAAAGGAGATTAGGGGCTGGCAAGTGCCATGACTGCAGTGCCCTGTCACCGGGACAGACTCAGGCAGAAGAAAGAATGTGTGAACTTGAAGACAGGGCAGTGGGGTTTAGCGAGTGTGAGAAACAGAAGGAAATGAGACCGGGGCAGCGAACAAAGCCTGGTGACCCATGGGACACAGTCAAGACAGCCACCGTGCGCATCGTGGGGGTCCTGGAAAGAGAGAGACATTGGAAAACAGAATGGCGGAAAACTTCCCAAATGTGATGGAAAACACGAATATGAACATCCAAGAAGCATGGTGAACTCCCCATGCAGTGAACTGAAGGAGATGCACGTGGAGACACATTATATGACCAAACTGTCAAAGACACGAGTCCTGGAGCAGCGAGCATCCTCACACATGAGATCCTCCACAGGCTCACCAGCAGACCTCCCCCAGAATCTTGGTGGGACAGAAGGCACCGGGCCGCTGCCATCAAAGTGCTACAAGAAACCACTGCCCATCGAGAATCCCGCATCCGGCAAAACTGCCCTTCCAGACCGAGGGAGAAATGAAGACGTTCTCGGCACCCAGACGCCGAGGCAGCACGTGAACAGCACACCTCCTCTGGGGGTCACGCCGGCGAAGAGAAGGACACGAGCTGGAGCTGGAAGCTGCACGAAGAAGCACAGTCACAAAAGGTAAGCACACGGGCACCTGTTGTAACGGTGCTTTGTAACTCCTCTGTTTTCTTTTTTCTGTTTTATGTCCAAAGTAAGCAGAAGAAATAAGAATCAGAGAAGAAACTCATGAAATTGAAAATAGGAAATCGATAGAGAAAAGCAATGAAACCAAAAGCTGGTTCTTTAAAAAGATTAATGAAATTGATAAGCCTGTAGCCAGGCTAACTAAGAAAAGAGAGAGAAAGGACACTAATTACTAATAATATAAATGGAAGAGGAGACATCATTACAGATCCATGGACTTAAAAGGATAATAAAGGAATAGTATGAACAACTATGCACACAAATTTGATAACCTAGATGAAATTAACCAATTTCTTGAAAGACACAGTCTGCCAAAAGTCACACAAGAAATAGACAATCTGAATAGGCCTATATCTATTAAATAAATCTAATCAACAATTAATAACCTGAAACAGAAAGCACCAAGCCCAGATTAGTTTACTGTTGAATTCGACCAAACATTTAAGGAGAAATGATACCAATTCTCTACAATCTCTTCCAGGAGATAGAAACAGAGAGAAGTCCTCCTACTTCATTTATGAAGCCAGAATTTCCCTAAAACCAAAACCAGGGAAAGACACTGTAAGAAAACTACAGACCAAAATCACTCATGAGCATAGATGCAGGAATCTTAAAAAAAATATTAAATCCAACAATGTATTAACAGAATTATATACACCATGACCAAATGGGATTTACCCCGGGTATGCAAGGTTTGTTGAAAATTTGAAAATCAAGAATGTATTCCATCAGATCAACAGGCAAAATGAGAAAAATTACATGATCATAATAGATGCAGGAAAAGCATTTGACAAATCCTACAGCCATTCATGACCAAAGCTCTCAGTAACCTAGGGATAAAGGGGAACTTCCTCAACTTGATAAAGAACATCTACAAAAAGCCTATACAGCTATCATTACACGTAATGGTGAAAAACTCAAAAGTTTCCCTTACACTCCAAGGATGTCCTCTCTCACCAACCCTTTTCAACACTGAACTGGAAGTGCTAGCTATTGCAACAAGACAAGAAAATGAAATAAAAGGTATACAGATTGGTACAGAAGAAATAAAATGGTCTTTGTTCACAGGTGACATGATCATCGAAGTAGAAAGTCTAAAAGAATTGACGAGAAGACTTCTGGAATAAAGCAATTATAGTAAGGTTGCAGGTTGCATGGTTAATATACAAAAGTTAATAGCTTTCCTATATACTGCCAATGAACGAGTGGAATTTGAAATTAAAAACATAATACCATTTACGTTAATTAGCGCTCAAAAAAGTGAAATATTTGGGCATAAATCTAACAAAATATATACAACATTTATATGAAGAAAAGAACAAAATTCTGATGAGCAAAATCAAGTAAACAATTGGGGAGGCATTCTATGTTCATAGATAAGACTTAATATTGTCAAGATGTCAGTCTTTCCAACTTGATCTATAGATTCAATGCAATTTCGATCAAATCTCAGCAAGTTATTTTGTGGATATTGATAAAAATTCTGAAGTTTACACGGAGAAGCAAAAGACCCAGAATGGCCAACAGAATATTGAAGGAGAACAAAGTTGGAAGAGTGACACTACCTCACTTCAAGCCTTATATAAAGCTACAGTTAATCAGAACAATGTGGTATTGACAAAATAACATACAAATTGATGAGTGGAACAAAATCGCCTAGAAACAGATCTCCATAAATCCAGTCAACTGATCTTTGATGAAGAAGCAAAGGCAATACAATGGAGTAGAGATGGGCTCTTCAACTAATAGTACTGGAACCACTGGACATCCACTCACACACTGATACACACTCACACACACTCATACACACACACACACACACACACACACACACACACAAGGATATAGACACAGACCTACACCCTTCATAAACACAACACAAAATTTATCACATACCTAAATGTAAATGCAAAACTATAAAACTCCTAGAAGGTAACGTAGGAGAAAGCCTGGACGACCTTGAGTGTGGAGAGGAGTCTTCAGATACAACCCCAAAGGCATGATCTGTGAAAGAGAGAATCGATAGCTAGACTTCGTTAAAATTAAAATTCTCTGTTCCGTGATGGACAATGTCAAGAGGACGAGAAGACACGCACACTGGGAGAACCCCTGTGCAAAAGACACATCTGATAAAGGGCTGTTATTCAAAATGTACAAAGAACCCTTAAAACTCAACAATAAGGAAAGAGTTCCGTTGGAAAATAGGCTTAAAGACATTAACAGACACCAGAGATGTACAGATGGCACGTAAGCATCACATCATGTGCATCCGGCAAATGCACATTAAAACGAGGGACACCACACATGTCAGAATGGCCCAAATCCGGAGCACACACAACACCAGTGCTGGGAGGATGTGAAGCACTCCTTGCTGGCGGGATGCAAAATGGTGCGGCCACTGTGGAAGGCAGTTTGGCAGCTTCTTGCAAAACCAAACATTCTCTTACTTTATAGTACTCCTGCTTCCTGGTACTTCCACGAAGGAGTTGGGATCATGGGTCCTCAAAGCAGCTGCACCCAGATGTTTATAGCAGCTTTATTCATAGTTGCCCAAACTTGAAATGTGCATGTTCGGTGTGTGACTTCAAATCTCTGAGGCAATGATGGGCCTTCAGTAAGTGGACAGCCGCTTGGAGAAAGATAAAATGAGGCCTACCTTCACACAAACAAAAGTGAGCTCCAAACGGACCCGAAGTCTACATGCAGAAGAGACACTAAGCAAACGTGGACAGAAAACACGGCGGAACTGACTGTGGGAAAAGCTTCCCAACCAGGACTCGGCACAAAACGAGCAATAAACCTGCAAACAGGAAACCGGAAACTTCCACACGGGAAGGTACTTCCCACTCAGAGTGGAAAGAAAAGTGACAGATGGAAAGAAAAGTGACAGATGGAGGCTGTGCAGCATATACTGGAGATAAAGGGCAATCACCCAAGCGTGTGCACATAATGTGAGAGGAATATGCCCCGAGTCCAATGGGAAATGGACAAGATATATGAACAGACAACTTATAAAAACAGATGGTTCTCAAACCTACGAAGACATTCGCCTTCACGTGTGAAGAAATGAAGCAAAGGGGGGTCTGGGGGGGCTCAGTCAGCTAAGCGTCCGACTCTTGATTTCGGCTCAGGTCATGATCTCACGGTTCATAGGTTCAAGCCCCGCATCAGGCTCTGTCTGCGCTAACAGCGCGGAGCCTGCTTGGGAATCTCTCTCTCCCCCTCTGCCTGCCCCTCCCCCCCTTGCTCTCTCTCTGCCTCAAATAAACATTAAAAAGGAAAAAAAAAGGACGAAGCAAAGTCCAGAGGCACCATTGCCCCACCACCAGACCAGCGAGGGGAGAAGGGCAGGGCAATGTGGCAATACCCAGCCAAATGGATCCACGCTTCCCCGTGACCTCGCATTCCCACTTGTAGGAATTCGCCATAAAGACGCACCCCGAACAGCATGAAAATACACGTGCATGAGGTTATTCAAACAGCTCTGTTGGGAGTCATGAAGTCCTGGCAACCACGAAAACGCCAGCATGCGGGAGGCTGGCTGAGTCGGCCACGGTTCATCCACACGATGAGGCACTACGTGGCTCCAAGAGGGAGTCGTCCCCAAGTAGAAGAGTGCTTTCCAGGAGAAGAAACAACGTGCAGTCAGCACACAGGCATCTTCACAAAAAGGACAAACCAGAAAACTGACGCTAGTTGCAAAAACGTGGAGGCGGGACAGGAGGGAGCCATGTCCCTGAGCGTGCCTTTGTGAAGAGTCCAGACTTCTGGAAGCGCGATCACGTTCTACCAATAAGGAGGGTGGGAAGTCAGATCCCGAGACTGAAAGCAAAGGGAAAGATGACAGCCCAATCATATTTTAAATGAAAACCACCACAGTGAAGCAGGAGGGTTCGTCCGAGGACCGTGCACACACAGTATTTGACCACGAACCTGAAGCCACTGGGGACAGAATTCTCACCGTGGAGGGCAGATGTAGATACAGACAAGGCAGGCAAACGAGCCCACGGAGGTGGAACTGGAGGTGTCGGCATGGCGCCGCGGTCTCTCAAAAGCGCACATAGGTGTGTGCGTGTGGGTGTGCCCGTCCTCCCTCGCTGTCCACAGACACGGCCTAAAAACAGACATCTTGAAAGCAACACGCAGGTTTTGCACCCAGGCCTGTCTCCACGACCATTCCCCAAGAGGAGGCAGGGCCCCTCGGACAAATGGCTGACTTCTGGGCTGGGACAGAGGGACCCGAGAGCCTTGTGCCGGAAAGTAGGGAGGCAATGACACGTCACATGACAGCTCCCCGTGCGACCCCGGCACAGCGTGAGGCCCGGCAGCGATCCGCGGATGCATGCTGATAACCGATGACAAATATCTGAGCCCTGACCAATTATAAATGAGTGATAAATGCCGGTAATACGTACATGATAAACGCTGGGACAATTAGACCAAAGGGGAAAGGCGGGAGCTGGCTCGCATAGAGTGTTGGGCACCAGCCGGAGGCAGGAGGTGCTGCAAAGGCCAGCCTCCTCAGGGATCATCGGACGACATCGAGTCGGGGAGAGGCTGGAGCAGGTGCGCCCAGCGGACATGTCTGTGCCCACACTGCCTGTCGGCTGCGGTGGAGACCCAGCGGCTACAGGGGGGAGAGGCCGTCGCCTCCCTCCTAGGACGCGCGGAGGTGCTCCATGCCGAGAGCTACTCTCTCGAGTGGCTCGGAAAAGGTAGCCTTTCTTTATGCACGTGAGCACGTGTGTGTGTGTGGCACGAGTGCATGTGGTAGGGTGCACGTGACGTGTGCGCGTGTGTGGCAGGAGCACACGGTGTGCGCGTGCGTGCAGTATGAGTACATGTGGTGTGTGTGTGCATGGTGTGTGTACACACGTGGTACGTGTGTGGTATGAGTGACGCGGATGAAGTGTGAGCACGCGTGGTGTGATGTGTGCCTGTGCGTGGTAGGAGTGCACGTGGTGAGTGTGCACGGTACGTGTGTGCACTTGGCGTGAGCACACGCGGTGTGTGCATTTGTGTGCAGCGCACCCGTTTCCCTGCATCGTCTTCGGCGTCTGGTGGCGTCAGATGCATTTTGGGTCCTTAATAAATTCTCGGGCGATGAAGCGTAAAGATGCCGAAGTTACCACATAAAACGCAACCTACGCGGAGGCAGTCTCTAGAAATACCACGTATCGTTAAATCTCTAATAAGGAAACATTCAAATTTTTATTCTCCATTCTCTTTAAATTCCCACAATTTCACATGAGCTGCCATGCCACAGCGTGCCTGTGCCCACGAAGGAGTCTCCCTGTGGCTCGGGGCGTGGGCGGGGGACGCCGTCCAGCGGTGCTGCCTCGACACCAAGTCTCACACGAGCTCCCCCGAAGGGGCGCTTTTTCAGGTGCTCCGAGAGGCCCCCGGGTGAGGCCCGCAGTCCCCGCTGGCCGTGCTCGGTCTGGACTGGCCGTGGAGGACCCCGGCCTGTTCCCTGAGGCGTACGTCCGGGGCACGTCCCCGGTTCGGCTCTTCATATCGTCTCATTTGCCAGGATGCCGGCGGAGCCTCTCGAGGAGCACCAGCTTTGTTTGCAGGTTGACGTCAAATGGAGGCAGTCGGGTCAGGTTCAGACTCACCCCGGTGGTGCCCGCGATGCTGGCCAGGACCCGGTGCGTGTCCCTGTAGAGGGCCAGCTGCGCAGGGGCCGCCTCCATGAGGAGGTGCGTGTAGGCCAGCATACGCCCCGACCCAGGCTGCACATCTTCCTTTTTCTCGTACCTGCGAGAGAAGAGCGTGACCGTGCACCTGTGGCCCCACGCCAGTGCCCGGATGCCCCCAGGGAGCCCCCACGTGGCCTCTGCGAGGAGCGCCACTGCCCGCAGTCACAACTGGCGGGAACGTACCTCCAGGCGCTGTTGACTTCTAGAAACCGAGACACACCGGTCTGTGCGGCCGCCACGTCGACGTGCACGACGACGTCTGTGGACAACCACGCGCGTTCGGTCAGCATGGCGAGCTGGGGTCCCCTGCCCCCCGCCAGAGCCGCAGCTGGCCCAGCTCGGCCCCAAGCACCCACCTGTCCCGGGGGCCACCAGCTCGTGCAGCCGCTGCATCGCGACGCCGCCAGGATAGTTGAAGTGGGACACGTACAGGGCCGTGGCCGAGTACATGGCGTTCACCACCAGGTGTCCTACCACAAGGGCGGAACCCACTTTATACAGCCAAGACTTCCTGTAGTTGGTCAGCCTGGAAAGAGCACGTTTCACAGAAAGGCTTGCTCTCCCCCAGCAACACCAGCCGGCGGAGTCTGCGGCCTCATTTCAAGAACCGAACCCCCTTCCCGCACAGTCACGGACTCCTGAACGGTCTGTCCATGGTTCGCCCCGGCTTCGCTAACCTGAGACGCCCAGATTTTCCACGAACGGAGTCCTCCTCCCTCCCGTCCCAGCCCTCGAGGTGGAATCCGCCCGCTGCTCTGAGCAGCTCCCCCTGTGGCCTCGGGCCGGGTGCACGTCCCTCCAGCACCACGCCCGCCACCGAACCCAGATGGAGCCCGAGGCTGAGGCTCACGGCGCTTCCTGCCCTTCACGGGCGTTGGTTCTTTGGGAGCACGGCCTACTCCTGGCTCCCGGCTCCTGCAGGGGCCGTGCGGCGGGGCCTCCTCTCCCGGCCACACCCTCTGCGCCCTCAGCCCGGCCGCGTCACTCCTGTTCCTACCGTGGCAGTGACCGCCTTGCTCCAGGGAAGGGCAGCCCCGCTCGACCAACCTGCCTCATCCCGGACGCCCTCCTCGGGGCACCTTCGTTCCGTCGCCGGGCCATCCCCCTCCCTCGGAAACCCCCACACCACCTTGTGCCCCACGCCCCTGGGTCGAGCGCTTCCCTGACCCTTCCCCTGTCATCCGCTCTGCCGCTCTCTGCTCGGTGGGGCCTGGCCCTTCGGCGAAGTCAGCCCTGGAGACCATCTGCCCGGCCGAAGCCCGCTCGGCTGCCCCGTGCAGGGCCCGCTCCGGGCACGTCCTCCCCCAAGTGACCGAGACCGAGCGCGGAGACCGGCCCGACTGACCACGGCCCCACCGACACGGTGGGTGGGAGGCCAGCCCGTCCCAACCCCGGGCCCTCCTCCTTCAACACCTCCCCACGTGACAGCGGGCGCGTGCAGCCCGGCTGTGGAAGCGGGGGCGGCGGGACGCTCACAGGCAGGCGCAGCCCCTGGCGGCCACGATGTTGAGCACAGGGAAGGAGTAGATGATGAACCGCAGCTCCTTGTGCGGCAGCAGCGAGTACAGGGCCACGAAGCCCAGCGAGGGCAGCAGCAGCGCCAGGGCCCGCCTGTCCGTGGCGCCCAGCGGCACGAACAGCAGGCTGCAGCCCAGGCCGCGGGGCAGGGCCGAGTAGAAATACCACAGCAGTGGTGAGGTCTGTGGGGGCAGGGTCAAGGAGCCCCACGCCAGCGAGCCACGGCCGACAGGCGCTCCTGCCCGCGGCACCCGGGACCCCCCCCCCCCCACCTGTCCCTCCCCCTGGCTGCAGAACAGCTCGTGCCGGTGGACTCGCGCGCTGTACTTCCCGCCCGTGTGTACGCTGTCCGTTTCCGCAGCAAAACGCTACGGGCTCCCGCTAAAGACCGTCCCGAAGGCTAAAGGGGAAATGGCGCCCAACAGCAGGGCGGTGTCTCGGCAGGTGTGGCTGCCTGGGTGAGGCCGGGGGAGGAGGAGGAGGGGGGAGGAGGAGGAGGGGGGAGGAGGGGGGGGGGGGAGGAGGGGGGAGGGGGGAGGGAGGGGGAGGAGGGGGGAGGGGGGACGACCGCCCCGCCCCACCCTGCAGGCTGCCCCGCAGACACACGGGAAGGATACTCCCCAGTTGGAACTTTTGTTCAGGATGGTGTTGTACCAAAGCACCTTTCCCTCCGGCCACACGAGACTTCGCCAAAAACAGGAGTCCACGGCGACGGTCAGTCCTGGTAAGATAAAGGAGTCCCTCAGGAAAGAAAACGGCCACCTGAGCCACTCGGACGTCGCCGCTGCGGCGTGAACAGCAGCCCCAGAGCCCCAGGTCGCAGGTCAACGTCCCATGAAGCAGCCGCGTCGGCCGCGAGCCCCCTGCTCCAGAGGGGGATGGCGCGTCGGGACCTCGGCTCCCCCCGACGGGGCCAGCCGCCCCTCCCGGCCAGGACGAGGGCGGCCCGCGGATGGAGGCGCTGAGACATTTTATCTCTGCTGGACATGAAGGCCAGCTCTCCCGAGAGCCCCGCTTTCAGTCACAGCAGCCCACGGCGGCTCCCACTCACCTAAGCAGAGAGCCCCGGCCGGCAGGGCGCAGCGCAAGGCCCGCGCCACCGTCACCCTCCGCGAGCGCAGCAGCAGCAGCAGCACGAGGCCCAGGAACAGGCTCAGCTCCGCCCGGAACACCAGGATGGCGAACGCCGAGAGCCGGATGAAGCGGGCCCACTTCAGCTGCAGCCAGGCCGTGAGGGCGGGCAGGACTGCAAGACACGGGGTGCCCGAAGCAGGCCGACTTGCTTCCTCCCGGCAAAAGCCACGCAGAACCCTCCAGAGGACGGCACACGCCGCTCAGACCCAGATCTGCTGACACGGGGCCGGCCACGGCTCCTGTGCCACGGCGCCACCACACAGCCTAGGGCCGCTTCTCAGGCCTGACGGCACCTGGCCCCCGCCTGCCCTGAAACCCCCCAGGCTCCACGCGCCCAGCGCCTCCCCTCCTCTCCTGCGCACCCGGGCCTGCGGCGTGTCCCGCTGGCCCCCCGCGGGGTTCATTCGGACGGGAACCCTGCCTGCCACCTTCCCCGGGCACGCGGACGTCCGGGCCACACCCGGCCCTGATCGGCACAGACCCCCCCCCCCAACCCACGCCATCCACGGCCCCCCCTCCTACCCACACTTGGCCTCCCCCCGTCCGCCTGGGTCACCCCCAGGACGCTCGGACAGAGCTATCCACAGACCAGGGAGACCCTCGCAGGCGGCCCCGGCCACGTGCGGGGAAGCGTGCCTCCATCCGGCACCAAGAAGAGGCCCCCCCTTCCCCTCGCCGGGCATTTCTGACCCTGACCCTCGCCGGGCCGGTACGCCCCGCCCCGTGGTGCCCAGCGAGAGTGCGGCTCGGCAAGCGCCTACCCACGGACAGGGCCAGCACGTTGGGGAGCGTCCGGGTGCAGTAGAACATCAGGTGGAACTGTGTGGCCGTCACCCAGCAGAACATGGTGGCCACCGTGGCCCCAAACTGCCGCCTCACTTCTTTTTGTAAAGTCCAGAGTCCCGAGATCACGCCGAGTCCCAGGACGGCTCTGACTAAACAAAGAGGGCACCGTGAGTGACCCACAGCGTGCAAGACGCCGGCAAAGCAGGTCTCCGCCAGTGTTGCTCGCGGTACAACTTGACAACCAAGTAGCAGTGAGACCACCTCAAAAGAGGGGACCCTGAAGCTTTGCCGGGACCATGCGGCCCGGGGAGGGGGCTCGGGGGGACATGGCCACCGGGCGTCTGCAGGACCGTGTGACAGGCATGGCATCATCAGCACAGCCCACGCCACAGGGACGTGTCCAGGGCCACCCTTCCCCAGGCGGGGAGACCGTCCGGGGCTCCCCGACACCCCTGAACCAGCACAGCCTGCGCAGCCGCCCCCCGTGGCGGCGGATTTCCATTTCCTAATCTGTTCTCTCAGGAAGCAGGCCTGCTTCTCCCCCGGGGATCTGTGTCTTTAACGTCCTGCCCGTGAGGCCAACAAACTAGCTGGAGAGCGTGTCTGACTTAGCGGGGGAGATCCAAATGTCATTTGGGTGCAGCCACAATAAAAATTCACCGAAATGGGGCGCCTGGGTGGCTCAGTCGGTGGAGCGTCCGACTTTAGCTCAGGTCATGATCTCACAGGTTGTGGGTTCGAGCCCCACGTCGGGCTGTGTGCTGACAGCTCAGACCCTGGAGCCTGCTTCTGATTCTGTGTCTCCCTCTCTCTCTGCCCCTCCCCAACTTGCGCTCTCTGTCTAAAAAATTTTTCTTAAAATAAATTAAAAATTCACCGAAATGGAAAACTGGTGACTATCGACCAAAAATGACATTTCAGAGAGAGATACACAGAATGTTCTGAATTTGGTTTTAAAAAATACATGGGCACACAGCCCCAGAACGCTCTGCACAAAGCCCTGTGGACGGTGGCCTCCAGGTGGGGGAAGTGAGGCCTCCAATGCAGGCGCCGTACCGCCTGGGTGGACGGCTCTCCAGGTGTGGCCGCCGGCCCCTCTGCGGCCACCTCCGGAGGTGCATCTCGTCTGCTTCCCCTCCCGCCACCGCGGCCGGGGCAGGGCCGGCTGGCACCCTCACCTCATGGTCTCAGGAACAGGTGGACAGGTGCCCAGTTACCTGTCCCGGGTCACGGCCCAG